CTGCCGCCGCCAGACGCTCGGGCCAGCGATCGACAGCCAAACGCCATCACGTCTCATAACGTTGTGCGAACTCGTGCTGGCGCTCGAGGACGTCGAGCTGGCCATCATTTTTCTCCGCGATGCGAGCTTTGTTAGCTGCGACAGGCCCATCACGACGGTAGCGGCGTGCATTCATGCGTGTCTCGAGCGGTATGGATGGGACCCGCTGGCCCCTGCGATGCTCGGTCTCATCTCTCGGTGGTACCGGCCGTTGAGGCCTCACGCCCCATGCTGGCACTCTATTGGTGTCGACTGCATGCCACGTCTCCTTGCGAGTCTCGCAGGCATCACCAAGGACGCGGTGTGTCTGCCACTCAACCAGCCGCTTGTGTGCGAGTTGATCAAGCGCTGCTACCACCATGCGCTCGACCAGCATCGGTTTCTTCCAGAGAGCAAGTGCGAGCACGAGGTGTTGCGTCGGTTTGCCACCCACGTCATTCTCCTCGACTGGTACCTTGACGAAGGCGCGCCGAATGCGGCCGGCGGCAACTACCTCAGCACCTTCTTGCCGCCCAGCATGATCCTTGCAGTCGACACCTATGTGTACGATCATCTACCCGGCACGTCGACGCTACTCAGCATAAGGGCACAGTCGATGGCATCGAGGCTGCTCCTCTATGTTCCCGAAGCGCTCGTTTTTGCGATGAAAAGTCAGCCGACGATCTCCATCGACCTGTACCTCGGCGTCATCGAGCGCGCTCTCGAGACGTTCAATGGAGACAGCATGCGAATTGAAATGCTGGGGGCGACCATCTTTTCGAGCATCCTCAATCTGCTGGACCGAGCCGGACGCTGCGATGGGGCTCGATTTAAAGCGGTTTGGACGCTCTTCTACCCGGCGTCGGTCGCCGGAACCCGGCAGCTGCTCCACCAACGAACACTGCAGGACGAGGTGCGCGCATGTATCGCGTCGCTTGTGCTGGCGATTGCGCCGACGCTCTCGACCATGAAGGTTTGGCGGCGATCGGGATACAACGACTGCTACACCTCATGGGAGCAGCTCGGCTTGATGGCTGTCGAGGTGCTTGTGATCGTCGACCCGACACGAATGCCGACGCTTCTGCAGAAATGGCTCGAGGCCATGGACCGTGAGACGCCACTTGGTGAGGAAAAGTCGTCTTTCAACCGAGTAGTACAAGCTCAAGAACTTTACTTTCCGTTGGCCCAACTGCTTGCCAACACTGTGCCGCAGCACGTCGACGAGATTCACGGAAAAATTGTGCAGCGCTGCCTCGATGTGTTTGGCGCTGCTCGTCGTCGTATCCCACTCCTTCCCATCATCTCCGATTACATATTGGACGACTCGTCACTGGATGCAACCCATTGCTATCTCTGCAAGATCTTGGCCGACTTTTTGAACGACGGCACCCGATTCTCGCTGCGCTCGCTGCATGTCCCGGCGCTCTGTGATGCAGCGCAAGGCTCTATTGAGATCAACCGCCATCGCCTCAAGCTGCGTCGCAAAGCTCGTACGTCGTATTACGATGTCATCAAGGTGCCACTCAAAGGCGGCCCGGGCGTGGGCCAACTGTACGAGCTTGGCGTCACCCAGCGTCAAGATACCGAGGATCGCGCGCGTGTTGTGGTTCTGGACACTATTGTGGCCGACGACCAGCGACGACCAGCGACCAACGGCGACACGCCGCATCAACATTGCGTCAAGCGCCAGCGACGAAGTTTTTCTTACCGGTAGAGACGGCGGCCTTGAAGGCATCGATTGGCGATAGGAGCCGTTCGATTGCACGTTTTACACCAGCAAGTGGCGAGAATTATTGTCCTGTACTGGGAATAAGGAATCGGGAAGTCCGTAGTACGCTGCGCGCGCGGGGTGGTGTAAGCGAGGCAGTCGGAAGAAGGGCAAGGAAAAGGGAGGTTAGTGGTGAGACTGCAACCTATCTGCAAAATAATTCATGTGCAAATCGTTCTGTCAATGGGAATGCGAGTCCACAGACTGTATCGCCCTGTCGTCTTGTATCGTACTGGCACCAGAGCTTTCCGCTCACGAGCTAACGATGCCGAACCAAGGTCTGACGATCCGGCAAACGGGCTACGACCACTTTATCAAAAGGTGGGTGGCCGCTCGGACAAGGTCACTGGTTGCACACCAGTAGTTGCGTTTGGATATTAGGACTGATTACCCATTGCAACGATTGAAAATGAGCGGCGTCCGGTAGAAAAATGAGAGGACGCGATAGGAAGTAAGGGTAAGATAGACTGTTGCTTTGCACTTCGTGCAACCCCGTTGTCGAATTGAACCCGAGAATCCCGCCAAAGGCTCTCCCGGGGAAGGGGAAAGGGTCATGCTGGGCAATTGTGGCTCATGTTACCGCTCGTTCCGGCCTCGCTCATTTTCTTGCACCTCATTTGTACTCCGCGCCCATAGGATTGCTACATATATTCTCTAACGCTTTAAATGCCTAGCTCGGAAAGACGATTCAGCGCCGCAAGGTGCATTCGTGTCAGCAGCGTCGACTGCCACGACGGCAGTACGTAGCCGTCTTCGTCTTGGGCTCTCTCGTCGTCCTCTTCGCTGTACGTCTTGGAGAAGACCAAAACGCCGTCGTTGACAAAGCCCGCTGCCTGCAAACCGGCCATCGTCTGCGCTGCCTCGCAACACGGGTCAAAAAAGGATTTTTCCAGAATCCGCTGTTGCGTCCGAAGAAACTCCCAGAGCGCGTTGCAGAGAGCGCACGTACAGCGACACGGGTCCAAGAGCCTGTCCATCAGGTCGTCATCCGTTGCTTCCGCCACGATGGAGGATGAGGAGGCAAGGATGTCGGCGCGCAACAAGTCGATAAATTGGTCGCGCAACGTCACCGACAGCGCCGGCCACCGGTGCGCAAACACCGAGAGCAGCGGCAATAGCACGGCCGCGGGCGGCACGGGAAGGACCTGGCCGCTCTCATAGGACCCCTCGAGCATCAAACGGAGCCGGTGCACGAGCATCCTTGCGCGCTGCGGCGCATACGTGGCGAAAAAATCGAGTGCATCGGCGAGAAGCGCTTCGCACACGGCGAAGACGGCCGACTCTTGGTAGAGCAAGATGACGTCCGTGTCGTTGTAGTAGTGGGGCAAGAGGTGCTCGATCATTTGGGCGCCCCACGTGTACAAGCAGTCAAACACGCCAACGACGATGGTCGCCAGCACATCCAGCGTCCGCGGCGCGACCGATCGCGTCTTGAGAAGCGCGCAGAGGGCTGCGATGATTGGACTGGTTTTCGAGGGCCCAGCACTCCTCCCTTGTGAAGCCTAACTACACTCGACTCTTATTTCACACTCAAATCTCCACTTTTACTTCATATTCTTTCGCAATCCACACATCTCCAGCGCGAAGCGCTGCCGACAAGCGAAGCGAGTCGCAATCAACTTTGCCCGCAGGGCCCGAGGCGGAGCCGAGGTTTAGTTCAGTTGCTAATAATACACTAGTACTACGCGTAGTAGGTCTGCATCGTACACTAAAATCTCCTCCGTTGCATGTTGTTTCCAACTATTCCAGCGCAGCTGAGATTAACCTTAGTATTTATAATACAGTAGCCCACACCTTCAACCGACAGAGATCGATGGACTTTTTTGGCGGTTAAAATATCAAATGCGAAGCTGTTATGTACCGGTATGCCAAACGTACGGGGAGTACCAATTAGGTGGTGGGTGAAATACCGCACGCGCATTGGTCTAAAATCGCTCTAACACTGCCTTTGGGCAACCGCATTGGCTGTTTTTTGGTCAAATGCAACACCCGCATTGGTCTAAAAGAAATAATTCAGTAACACGAAGTTCGAAGCTGTCAGATCGCGATCTTCGCGCAAGCGTTTTGGCGCTTCTGCACCCTGGCGCTTGGCGACATGGAGCGCGAGTGAGCTTGCTTTATTGCCGCTCAGAGGAAGCCGCGACCCATCAGGGTATGAAGGACAGTATATTGTCGTTCTTCAGTGGTCGGTGCCTAGATCGATTCCACGGGTTGATGCCAGCCACACGCATCAACCCGAGCTACGGTCTCGCGATCCTCGTGATAAATACGCACAAGAAGCAGTACATGATTCTCGAGAAAGTCGTCACGATCTATAAGCTACGGTAGGGCTGTGGTATCTAGAGACTCTACGAGCCGCCATATCGGGTCGTACACAAGGCATTACTGTTGAGAAAAGGTTAGCAGCATCATTGCGCAAGCACACATTGCTGGGTTGATGTTCTCCGCGAGTACGCTCGAGTTCAATGCCCAGCTCTGGACTCGGCACCAACGATTCTAATTGGCCAAAAAACAGCGTGAGCGGGCCAAACTGACCAGTGCGGGTGTTGCGTTCGTGCAGTGCAACACCCGCATTGGCTACAAGGGTTTTGCGCTCGTTCATTGGTAGAAATTCGAGCTTATGGGCACGTTTATAAGGTACCACAGAGGTATACAAAAACCAGCATGAAAACAAGAGCTGAATGCCATCTTGCACAATTGCCGCGCGCACAGCACCGCTTGCATAGTACCGCTTGCACAAGATCGCCACGTCATATCGAACTTCCTCCTTCTTCTCTTCTCTTTCTTCGATTTAACAGGCACACGTGTGTTATAGTCCCACCATTTAAGGGGTAGTCGCCAAACGTACTGTAAATCGATAGCCAAGACAGAGAGGCAGAGAGGAATACAGTACCTTGACAGTTTGATCTTCTCTATAGCGTGTCTAGTTGTGGATAATTTGAAACCCGAAGTGAGGCCATTTACAGAGGGCGAGGCTCCAAAATGCCCATCCTCACGGTGCATGCACCGGGTCGCCACAGCCATTACGGTATCTGGACGAAACGATGCAAACCGGACGGTGTACCCCGGGTCATAATCATTTGTGGGTGCAGCACTCAGCAGGAACAAGCGCGCTTTGCTGCTGGATCGCGCCAGGGCGGCCCGTGAGTCCAAGCATCAAGCACTTGCGCTAGGCGGCGTCATCGAACTGGACTCCGAGGGTGCGACAGCAGCGAAGAAGAAGGCGACCTTGGCGCAACGTATGCAGCATGAAAACTCTCAAAGACCATCTCACGATCCTCCGCGAGCTAGAGATACTCGGCCTACCGAGACGATTCGCGGACATTGCTGGAAGATGCTCTGTGACGACTAGAGAACCATAAGCTTACTCTTGCAGTGCGGTCAACTTGCTCGACCACCAACCCGACTTGGCCATTCAGATCGCTACCCGAAGAGGTCTTTCAAGGTAATGTACCGGTCACATCATCGACCTCCTCCCCAAGTTCCATCCCGAGTTCAACCCGATCAAAAATTACTGTGGAAGCGCCAAGGTCTACTGCCGACATCACTGCGACTACACGTTCACGAAAGCACGTTCACGAAACGAATCCAGCAGCTCTCGTCGCCAGCAGCGGCAGCGTTCGTCGGTGCGGTCAGCTCCGGGTCAGCTTCGTGTCGTCGGTGCTGCGTTCGCCTGGATGGTCTAAATCCGGATAAACTCATGTGAGTTTTAACCAATGGCCATCATTCGTGATGGTGATTTGTGGAAATGCACCAATGGACAGGCCGAAGTGGCCGTGACCAGGCTACGCCTGGATCAGCAGCACACATGGTATTAATAGGTAGGGATGGCAGCCTGGGCGATCGCACCATGGGCTCTATGGTACTGTGCGGTCCTCACTCTGGTATCATGACGGTCCTGAGCACATACGTCCTTGGATATGTGCGTGCGATAGCGTCGACCCACGGGAAATGACGCGATGTACTTTACTATATCATTTCTATCAACAACAGGGATCGGGCAGCTGCAACGTATTGCATACTTCTGTCACGGTGGTGCTGTGCCCAATCCAAATCGCGGAAGGGTCAACAACCTCTGAAAACACATGCGATACGAATGATATCCCTCTATAACCCGATTGCATGGGGTTGTGCCGTCGTGCTGTCGATGGACGTCATTGCCTTTTTGACGCCGCAGACGACCGAAGCTACCGCGGATGAGTCTTGTGGACGCCGTTGCTCGAGGCGATTTGGCGGCCGTGGCCGAGTTCCTTCATGACGGCGCCGATCCCGACAGCCGCAACAAGGTGCTTGGAAGCACAATTCCTCGAGACTGACGTACTATCATGTAGATTGGCGAGCCTGCGCTCTTCGTTGCAGTGATGGAAGGGCACGTCAACATTGCTGAGATGCTCCTCAACGCCGGCGCGGCCGTCGACTTGGAGACACCGGTGCGATGGTGTGCAGTAAATAGCACAGCTCGGAATGTTCTGTGTTATTAGGGCGGCGCAACAGCGCTCATGATGTCACCGGCCTGTCGCTCTGCCGAGTTCGTGCAGTTGCTCTTGGACCGCGGCGCCGACGTCAACCACACCAACGGGGTACCCGCGTTGCAGGATCGAACAGCTCTCGTCACAACAACCTGCGCTAGAATGCAACGACGCTAGCTGCTGCGGTGCAACTCGGCCTCGACGATGTTGTTGAAGTCCTTCTGGCTGCTCGTGCCAACGTCAACGACAACAACACCTATGTACCGGATACTCGACTTCCATAGCACACTAACATTTACTCCTGCACTAGAACAAGGCATCGCCGATCGTGGTGGCAGCGGAGAGAGGCTTACAGACCCTTGCCTCGCGACTGCTCTTGGCTGGCGCCAATCTGCATAGCGTCGACAAGGTACGTTGATTTTACTATACGAATTACGTGTCGCTATAATGGCATTAGGAGGGGTATGGAGCGGTCTTTCACGCTGCCAACCGTGGCCACGCCGACATGATTCGCTTTCTCGTCGACAAGGGAGCCGATCCAAACACGACGGCTCCGGTATGTACCAAAGTACATTGCAGCATGGATGAATGAACACTGTGTCTTAGAACGGAGTCACGCCATTGTACGCTGCTTGCCTGCGGGGCCATGTCGCCGCAGTGATCGCTTTGCTGCAAGCTGGTGCCAACGTCAACCACCCAGACGCCGTATTCTCTTGTCCTTTGCCACAACCGCAGTTCAACCATGGTGTAGGATCCGTGCATTGTCCCTGCTGCAGCCTACGACCACTCGACGATCATTTCGGTGCTGCTCAGTCACAACGTCGACGTGAACGCGGTGGACTTTACGGTAAACAAACGATGTGTTCAGACCCCGCGTCACATTTGCATTTCTAGTACCGCGCTACGGCACTGTATGCGGCCGCCATGAACGGTCACGTGGCAGTCGTGCGTCAGCTAGCGTATGCGAGAGCCGAGCTCGACAAACCGGCCAGTGTACGTTGCAGCACGACCTGCGACTCGATACTAAAATGCGCATAGGATGGGTCGACACCTGTCATGGTGGCGCGTGACAACTGCGTCCTGCAGGTCCTTCACGACGTACGCACCAAGGTAGTACATCAGTTGGAGCTCAATTGGTCATTCGTTCTTCATGGCTAGAAAATGGAGCTGCTGCATGCAGCGCGCCACGGCAACGTGGCCGTCGTTCGGGCGCTATTTGACGAGGGCTTGAGCGTCAACGAGAGAGACGAGGTATAGTCGCCGAGCCGCAACATTTGCCATGTTGCCTTATGTTTGTTGTGGTTTTAGCACGGCAATACGCTCGTTCACTTGGCGCTTCTTGGTCGCGACGTTGCTCTTTTGACCGAACTCTTGAAGGATCCCGCTGTCGACACGAGCTGCGTCAACAAGGTCTTTTGTTGTTTCATTATGGCCCGTGCTCAAATGTTCTAGTTCCATGAGTCGCCTACCGCCATTGCCGCGAAGTCGGGTATCCAGTCTCTCATCCAGAAGCTGCACCACTGCCAGAACAAGCCGGTGGTTAAGGTAATCCAAACTCATGGAGAAGTCGATGCTCAAATTGGTGGTGGTGCAGGTGGCAACTCGCTCGACCGTGCATCTCCAAGAAGTCGGCCGTGGTGGCTACGGCATCGTCTTCAAGGACACGCTCTTTGGCCAAGATGTCGCTGTCAAGATGCTTTTGAACAGCAGCAGCAAGGCCAAGAACCTCCGTTACGAGATCGAAATCCTCGAAAAGTATGACGACGTCGGGGCTTGAACTCGCGTCACGCTTCACGTGAATAGCAACCCGTCGCCGTACCTTGTGCGGCTGCTCGCCACAGCAGACGCGAAATCTGACGCGCCGCAGCTCATCTTCGAGTACATGGATGGCGGCAACCTCACTTCGTACCTCGAAAAGCTGGCCAACGACGAGTCTGTACCCGTGGTGTACACGCCCATTGAGATTCTCTGGGTCGTCGCCAACGCTTTGAACGACCTCCACGCCAAGAACGTCGTTCATCGCGACATCAAGCCCGACAACATCCTCCTCTCGTCCACGTACTACATTAAAGTGGGCGACGTGGGCATCGCCAAAGAAGAGTCAACGAACATGACGACGGGTGCTGGCACGAGCAAGTGGCGAGCACCCGAAGTCCTCACGTCCGGAAGCCGCTATGGCACGCCCGCCGACATTTACTCGTTCGGGATCCTCCTCCAGACGCTGTACCCTAACCCTACCGATGCGAGTACCGAGTGGGCCCAAGCCCTCGCAGCGAAATGCACGACGATCGATCCAACGCGCCGTCCGACGGCGGCCAAGCTCGTCGATCTTTTGCGTCCTATGTTGCAATCGTACGTCGATGAGTACTCCTCCTTTGGTGTTTACACCGGTATCCGCCATGTAGAGAACCGCACCTCGTGACGTCGATGCTTGCCTTTGAGCAAGACAGAGCGGTACTTCGACTTCGGCTGTCCAAACCCTTTGAATCGACGAATCGGATTAGGAGGGTCTTCAAGTCCTCGAGACCATTTCGATGCCCACTGACGTCCAAGATGCCGCGATGCCAGGCATGCCCGCGGCACCAATCATGCCCTCGGTTCGTATCTGTTCCCATTCCGACGTCGGTTGAGTCGTCATTCTTCTTTTAGAGGATCGGGCGGCCCCAGAGTCCTCTCACTGTACACCATTCATCTCCGAGGCAAGGTTCTCACAGCCTATGCTGCCAATGTAGCCAGAGGAGGCGCTGCATGTGGCCGTTGACACTGGCAAGTACGATGACGTCCGGACCCTGCTGGCGAGCGGCGTCCACCCCGACTGCGCAACCAATGTCTGTCTATTGAGGCATCGCCTTTGGTGGGTAATTAATGTTCTGTTGTAGGGGCGGGAAACACCGCTGATGAAAGCGGTACATTTTGGCTACGGCGACATTGCGGACTTGCTGCTCGAATACCGTGCCAACGTCAACATCGCTATCTTTGTACGTACTTCTAATGCGAGAAATGAGACTCATCGGACGAGTAGAATGGCATGACAGCGCTGCACAGCGCAGCAGGTCAGAGCGACAGTGCGATGCTCGACAAGCTTCTTCGCATCAAAAACGTCAACGTTAAAGGAGAGCCCAACGTACGTACATGTGGAGTAGTGCACTGCGAGTTGTTCATTTGCATATTCTTAGGTACGCCAAACGCCATTGCATGCTGCGATTGCGGCCGGCACGTGGCCAATGCGATCGCTCTCTTGGACGCTGGGGCCGACCTCGAAGCGGCCGATGAGGTACTCACTACCTTATTTGAATGCTCCGTTCGATGCATGTACTAGGAAATGGAACGACCGTTGCATTTTGCAGCGATATACGGCCACAAGGACATTGCAGCCGTCCTTCTCGCGCGCGGCGCCCGTACCTCAGACCGCAACCAGGTTCCGATTCGGTCAAATTCGACGCTTTATTGTTGCGCATTGTAGAATGGCGACACTGCGCTCCATCTTGCGATTCAGCACAAGCACGGGGATGTGGCCACGCTTCTTGTCGAGGCGGGCGCCGATATCAGCGTCCTCTCGGTAACCTCGCATGGTTTACGTCATATCCATCACCGTGATTGTTGAGTAGAAAGGGCAGAGTCCGATGCACTGCGCCTGCCAACATGGTGTCGTTGATGTCATCCCGGCCCTGATCGCCCGCGGCGCCGACGTCAACTCCCAGTTCGTACGTCATTTCGCCGTTATCTCAAGAGCTTGATGCATTCCACTCGTGTAGAACTTGACGTCGCCGCTGATGATGGCAACTCATCACAATCACGCAGACGTGGTTCGGGCGCTTCTACAGTTACCCGGCATCGATATCAACCGACCCAACGCTGTGAGTGTTCCTGCGCTATTACATAGCTGTGAAGAGACATATTTGTGGATAGCATGGTGTCACCGCCTTGCACGTTGCGGCGTCCACGAAGTGCTACGAAATCGTTCGGATGCTGCTTCAAGCCGGCGTTGATGTCGACCGTCGTGATTTGGTGGTTCGGCTCACTGATGCAACACTTGGTGTTTGAGAGGCTCTCTAGGTGGGGGTGCGGGCCATTGATTTGGTCAAGCCAGATACAGACCGCGCCATGCTCGAGCTGCTTCGGCCTGCGTACGAGCACGTACGTGGGAGCTGCTATCCCATAGAAGTGACCGCAGCATGTCGTAGCGAGAGCGGTTGCTGGAAGCGATGCATTTGGCAGACGTCGGGCAACTTGCGTATCTTCTGGAGCAGCCCTATAGCTGCAACATCAAGGACGAGGTACACACGCATTCCTATGGCAACAACACCAATGCAACTCTAGCTTGGGTGCTCGCTGGTGCATTTGGCAGTGCTTGCCGATAACGAAGCGATGCTCGACCTGCTCCTCGCCGAGACCCGCGTCAATTTGGCGACTCTCAACAACGTACGGCTGCGATTAACCACATCAGTATGCAACCAATTGTCTCATGTAGGAAAAGAAGACACCGCTAGCCATTGCCATCGAGCGCTGTTATGGCTCGATGGCCAAAAAGCTCTTTGATCGGACGCTCCAACCGGTGGTCGAGGTCTGCTCTGCGACTACCTCCACATGCTGACAACGAATATGGTAGATTTCGACCACCGAGTATGTCGAGACCCAGACGGAGCTTGGCTTTGGTGCCTTTGGTGTCGTTGTCCTTGGTTCATACGCGGGTCAAAAAGTTGCAATCAAGAAGTTCAGACACGCCGATTGTCTCAAGTCGTTCGAGGCTGAAGTCGGCACCCTCCTTGCGTAATACCCGATGTGATATCATGCACGTGCAACCATTGGCGTAGGTGCCCGTCGCCGTACCTCGTGCAGCTTGTTGCGATCGCAGACCGCAACTCCAAGACGCCAACGCTACTCTTCGAGTACATGGACGGTGGCAGCCTTCGGATGCACCTCGAGAAGAAGCGCATCAACACGCACACGGCAGCGCACGTGACGAACCTCCACGTGGCCTGGGTCGTCGCCAACGCCTTGCTTCATCTCCATGCCAAGAATTTTATCCACCGCGATGTTAAGAGCGACAACGTCCTCTTGAACTCGAGCGACGAGATCAAGCTCGCCGACCTCGGCTTGGCACGACCCGAGGCAACGAGCATGACCGAAGCGCCTGGTACCCCGTACTGGATGGCGCCCGAGGTCCTGCAGGCGGATGGTGCCGTCTACGGCTGCCCCGCCGACATTTACGCGTTCGGCGTTCTCCTTACCGAGCTCGACACGTGCGAACTGCCGTACTTTGACCAGGACGTTCAAGATCGAATTGCGTTTAACCGCGGTGTCATCAACGGCACGCTTCGTCCGACGCTGACGACCGACTGCGAGCCATGGCTGCGACAGCTGGCCGAACGCTGCCTGCATGCCGATCCGAAGGCGCGCCCGACAGCGGCGTCCATTGTCGAGATGCTCAGCGTTGAGATGGCTGCTGCCCCGCCACCAGGCATGAGCGTAAGCTGTCTTCTCTTGATGGTTCCGGCTGCTCATGGTTGTACGACGTAGGTGGCGAAGACATACCTGCACGCAGTGGCCACGGACGACGTCGACACGGTCGCGCAGCTGCTGACCCACGGTGTAGCACTGGACTGGAAGCTACCGGTAGTCCACACCCTCATCACCACCATCTAAAAGCTTTCTAGGGCGGTGCGTCACTGCTTTTGGCGGCTACGGCGGCGCGTGCAACCAAGACGGTGAAGTTTCTCCTTGATCGCGGCGCCAATGTCAATGACCCGAGCGTACGATACATGCTACCCCTAATCGTATGTACTACCAACTAACCCACTGTAGGGGGGGCAAACGCCACTGCACGCCGCTGTGACCAAGTCTTTGGAGGAATTTCTCCTCATTTTGATCGACGCGGGGGCGGACGTCGAAGCACGCGATCAAGTAAACGTCTGGGAGAAAAGAGGGAAATGCTTATTATTTGCATAGGATGGAAGAACGCCTCTGGCGTTCGCCCTGAAGAATCAGCTTTTGCAATGCGTGACGGCGCTTCTCGCGACGGGGGCCAGTGTCGAGCGTCTTGACGAGGTACATGCTCCCCATTTGCACTCGTTTTTCAAGGCCGTACGTAGGACGGATGGGAGCTACTCGACATGGCCAAACGGGACCAAAGCCTCGCCGATCTTGTGCGGATGCTCCACATCGCTGCGTCACGGGTACACCCATTCGATCTCGAGAAGTATCAGAACTGATACTCGCATTGTAGAAAGAAAACGTTGCCAAGCCCGAGATCTTTTGCGTCAAGTGTGGCAACTGGCACGCCGTTGCCGCGAATTGTTCGTGTAACCACAACGCTTCGCCGACGGACCGCATGGTCGCGGTGGTCCGGCGCTTGATGCGGCTGCACCATCGCGGCTACGCCGTCAACTGGATGCTCGCGTGCGCTTCCACCACTTGCCACCAGTCGACAATGACTATCGTCGACGCGATCTGCCCCGAGTGCGGCACGGAGTCGCCAAAGAGCATTACTATGATGCTGAACTTTCGCCTCAAGCATGCTCTCCAACAACCGACGGTACAAGTCCTTCAAGCTGTAGCAGAACGCTGAGTCGTCAACTTGTAGAGCGCGCAAGAAGTGCCACGCATCCCGCGTCGCATCCTGCGCTGGTTGGCAAGCCACCGTGACCCGCTGCCGCCAGCTGCACCCTCGTCGACCAACATGATGCAACGTCGCTCCGAGCGACGCATGCGGGGCCACTCGGCAGAAGGCCTAGCACGCGATATGGCGTTTCTGGCAATGCTCGCTTCCCGCCCGATGCAACAAGTCATGGCTCGTCCCTATCCCTGAGCACGCTGACTCTCTCCTGTAGAACGATCCGATGCCGTGGGCAACCGCGGGTATGTTTGGTCGGGCCGCCTTGGCTCGCGACTTGTACGCGAGCATGTCGGAGCCCGTACGGAAGGTAGCGACGGTGGTGCTGAACCACCCATGAGCAACTCGTCTGTAGATTGCGGGCGAGACCTTGCCAAAGGCGGGTGTACCCATGATGCTGCATGACCAACTGGTCGTGCATTACCACATCGGCGACGACGACGATCTCGAAGCCATTGCCATGTACCTTTAATCGCATCGGCAAGGGGATTGACGACGATGCGTAGGTGCGCGTCGCCCTTTCTCGTGCCCATCGTGGCCACCGCATCGCCCAAGAGCGTTCTTCTCGAAGCCTCTCGCGCCCTGACCCTCCAGAACACGCTGCTGGTCCCGGGTGCACGCTCGCGCATGCTGGCAGCGGCTCCAACGCTTCTGCAGATCCTCTACGTAATCGCCAACGCGCTTCTCGACGTTCACGAGCGCAGTCTCGTCCACGGACATCTCTCGAGCCACAACGTGTTTATGAGCCGCATCGGCGGTATCCAAGTCGGCGTGCCCGGGATGTCGGCGACCGACGAAGCGCTGCTGGCATGGACGGCCCCCGAGGTGCTCACCGGCGACGCGCCGCCGTCGTCGGCCTCTGACATTTACGCGTTTGGTATTCTTATGACCGAGCTCAACACGTTCCAGCTGCCGTTTGACGACTTCAATTTCGACGACGAAGTGGCGCTCACGACGGCGGTCGTGGATGGCGGCTTGCGCCCCACGCTGCGCGACGACTGTGACGCGTGGTACCGAACCCTTGTCCGTCGTTGCGTGGATGCTGACCCGCTCAATCGCCCGACAGCAAAGGACCTCGTTGAGCTGCTGCAAGAACGGCTCGATGACACCATTGGCATGCGCAACGCCTAGCGACTTGAGTACGCAAACTATGCATCTACCCATAACAAATACTACAGTGACTACAGTGAGCGTCGTGGGCAGGTTATGGTCGAGCTCTCCGGTTGACATGTGAGGTGTTGCATTGAGGTAGCGTGTATTCTCGTAGTAAAGGGCGCTTGTTCGATTCCTTTCCTACGTGGGGCGCTGCAGGGGCTGCACGTACTCGTCCAAGATTGCATCGTCCTCAAAGACGCCGTGTCCAGCGCTGCGCACTCGGACGTAAAGTTGGTGTACATGAACCCATGTACCGCTGCAACTTTTGCACAGAGGCGTCGACGGTTCATAGTATATCGCAAGGCCTGGTCGCTCTAGAACGGCTTTAGCGTATTGCAGGGTATGGTCCACAATGAGGAGTCACGTAATTCTAACATGTCCATGGCTAGCGTCATCGAAGAAGGGCCAGTTTGCAACGATAGCTTCGGGCGAAAAACCAGGAGTTTGAGTTTGGGCAATCTTGTCGTCTAACGTTATCTGCTGGAAATCTCTCAGCATCCATCCGAGTTCAAATTGTCGTCGAGATAAAACATGCTACATCCTCCACTGAATTCGGCGACACCCATGGGCGTGACTTTGCCAGTCGACCAGCCCATCGCGCTGCATAGGTTGGGACCATGAAAAAAGGAAAGAGTTGTGCAATGGAGGTCGAAAGTATTACACTAGCATACTAGTATGAACTAAACCTCGGCTACGCCTCGGGCCCTGCGGGCAAGGTTGATTGCGACTCGCTTCGCTCGTCGGCAGCGCTTCGCGCTGGAAATGTGTGGGTTGGGAAGACATGGAGAAAAAGGTTGAGTGTGAAATGAGAGCGAGTGTAGTAGTTAGGCTTCACAAGGGAGGAGTGCTGGGCCCTCGGAAACCAGTCCAACAGTCAGTGGCAAGCCAACTGGACTATCGGAGTTTGTAAAAATGAATGTGAAAAAAAACCACACCGAAGTGTGGAAATCAGTTTTCACACTGATTAGAACAGATACTACACTTGATCTTAGCCAAAAGGCCGACGGACTGGCCCGAGCACAACGTCATGGCCACAGGCGCTCACGTCAAGTACTTGGGCATCTGGTTCGGCCACGACCTGTCGCCGTCCCGACAAGTCGATGCACTCGTTCAACGCTTTTACGCGGACTTTCTCACGTGGGGCTGTCGTGCTCGCACGTTTGAAGGCCGTCGGCTGCTCGTCCAGACGATGATCTTGTCGCGCCTTTGGCACTACACGATGGTCGTCCCGCTCGAACTCTCGGTGCTCAAGCAGCTTCAGACCATGGTCACCAAGTATGTCCTCGGCTCGAAGATCGGCCGACATGATCGCTACATCAGCCTCGCTCGACAAGGCTTGCAGTTCGACGTTCTCGTGGGCCTGCGTATCCCGCATGTCCACTCGATCGTGACGCGGCAGCGCCTTCGCGTGCTGCAGAGATGGGTCGCGCCGTGCGATGCAACGACGAGTTCGTGGCAAAGTCTCGCACGCGCTGCCATGGCCGACGTCTATGGCCCTTTTGATGACGCGACGACATTGGACTTTTCTCTGGTACTACCCGAACCGGCGTACCACGATGCTCGACCTCGACCAGCTGCCTCCGCTTCTGCGTGATGTGTGGCAACA